CGATAAATTTAGTGAGACCCTCAAGGATATGAAAAAGGACCAACTAGAAATTAAGCATACACTGGCTGAAATAAATAATATAGAGATCCAACAATAGACTAGAGGATTGCAAGAATCAAGTCAAAGATATGAAATACAGCCTGACTGGTTTGGCTCAGTGGATAGAGTGTCAGCCTGAGGACCGAGGGGTCCCAGGTTCAATTCCAGTCAAGGGCATGTACCTTGGTTGCAGGCACTTCCCCAGCAGGGGACATGCAGGGGACAATTAATTGATATTTCTCATCAATGTTTCTAACTATCCTCCCCTCCTCTCTGTAAAAAAAATCAATAAAAAATATTTTTAAAAATATGAAATACAGAAATGCAAAATACACCCATCAGAAAAGCAAAAAGCAAAAAGAATCCAAAAATATGAAGACAGTGTAAGGAGCCTCTGGGACAACTCCAAGCATACCAACATCAGAATTATGGGGATGCCAGAAGAAGAGAGAGAGCAAGATACTGAAAACCTATTTGAAGATATAATGACTTCCCTTACCTGGTGGAAGAAATAGACTTACAAGTCCAGGAAGCACACAGAACCCCAAACAAAAGGAATCCAAAGAGGACTACACCAAGACACATCATAATTAAAATGCCAAGGGCAAAAGACAAAGAGAATGTTAAAAGCAGCAAGAGAAAAACAGTTACCTACAAGGGGGTACCCATACGACTATCAGATGATTTCTCAACAAAAACTATACAGGCCAGAAGGGAGTGGCAAGAAATATTCAAAATGATGAACAGCAAGAACCTACAACCAAGATTACTCTACCCAGCAAAGCTATCATTCAGAATGGAAGGTCAGATAAAGAGCTTCACAGACAAGAAAAAGCTAAAGGAGTTCATCACCATCAAACCAGTATTATATGAAATGCTGAAGGGTATTCTTTAAGAAGAGGAAGAAGAAGAAAAAGGTAAAGACAAAATTTATGAACAACAAAGTGACAACAAATACATATCTATCAACAAGTGAATCTAAAAATGGAGTAAATAAAAAGTCTGATGAACAGAATAAACTGGTGAATATCATAGGATCAAGGGCATAGAAAGGGAGTGGATTGATAATCCTTGGGGAGAAAAAGGTGTGGGAGTGTGGGAAGAGACTGGACAAAAATAGTACACCTATGAATGAGGACAGTGGGGTGAGGGTTAAGGGCAGAGAGTGGTGTGGGAATCAGGTGGAGGGGAGCTATGGGGGGAAAAAAGAGGAACAACCGTAATAATCTGAACAATAAAGATTTATTAGAAAAAAAATTGAACATTTTGACTACTGTGGTTATCTCACATGACCCTTCTCTGTTGTCTAGCCATTCCCCTGATTATTCTTGAATACCCACAGTCCCAAATGCGGATACAGTTGAGTTTGGGGGCAGGGTGGTGGCTCAGGTCCACACTTATCAGCACAGTCCCATTACCTGGCTTCAGGGTCAGCCTATAACCCAAGGGCAGTGGACTAGACTTTCTTTTTAGCTGGAATAGCTGGAAAGGATATTTCTAGCTCTCTCCTGACTCTAAGATATATAGACATGAGGTTTATTGCTTGAACCGCAACAAGAAGCATTTTGCCACAATGATGAAAGCTGGTTTGAGCATGAAGCTGACATGGAGAAGTGAGGGAAGATAGACACAAAATAGCCGGGACCAGTTTGGCTCAATGGATAGAGCATCGGCTTGGGGACTGAAAGGTCCCAGATTTGATTCCGGTCAAGGGTATGTACCTTGGTTGCGGGCATATCCCCAGTAGGGGGTGTGTGCAAGAGGCAGCTGGTCGATGACTCTCTCATCGATGTTTCTAGCTCTCTATCTCTCTCCCTTGACTCTGTACAAAATCAATAAAATATATTTAAAAAAAAAGAAAGAAAGAAAGAAAGAAAGACACAAAATAGAGTCCAGGATGATATCTTTGAGCTGCTGGATCAAGCCAGCTTATGTGCTGAGTCAGAGTGCCCAGCACTTTGCAGTACTGGGAGCCAGTGAATCCCCTTGAGTATGTAAACAGTTTTGAGCAGCTGCATTGAAAGGTGTCTTATGCATAATAAGTCTTTCAAATCTCTACATCTGTAGCTCTCTCTGCTGTGGATCTTCTTCCTTGACATGGATCCAGAGTCTTCAAGTCCCTCTGTCTCCCTTGAGTCTTCAAGAGGGCACCAGTTCACTATCCAGGGCTTTTGTACAAGCTGTGGTGCCTGCCCACGACACTCTGCCCTCCCCTTATGGTCTCAACATAAATGACATCTCCTTGATAAGTCTCTTCCTGACTTCAGGTCACTCCAGAAACATCTGCTGAGCTCCTGCTCTCCCAGGCAGCAGGTGAGGCCCAGCTCCCCATGTGGAGCTCTGGAGCTGCTGCTGATCTCATGGGAGGCAAGAGGAATCAGATGGCCACACTCTTGTCCTCAGCTGAGAGAAATGAGATCTGGATTGGAAGTGAGAGTGTACCTGGTGAATCTGGAGATGTCAAAGAAAGCCATGATGCTAGAAAGCAGAGGAGGGAATTTGGTAATAGGTCTTGGCAATGTGGCAATGCTGAGGAGGGTTGGGATTCTGGATATGTTGTGAAGGTAGTCAATTGGCCTTTCATGTTTGCCAAACTACCTCTGATTCAGCTTCCACTGCAGGTCTCCAAATAATGGTCATGGTTCACATATTTCTCCTTGAAATTCATATATTTTTATATAGAATTTGTTATTGTGATATCATTCATATGCCATAATAGTCACTTTTTTTTAAATCCTCACCTGAGGCTATTTTTCCATTGATTTTTTTAGAGAGAGTAGAAGAGAGATGGAAAGACAGAGAGAAACATCAGTGTGTGAGAAACACATAGATTGGCTTCCTGCACAAACCTCTGACCAGGGCCTGGGCTGGGGAGGAGCCTGCAAACAAGTTATGTGCCCTTGATCAGAATCAAAACCAGAACCCTTTTATCTGTAGACCTAAGCTCTATCCACAGAGCCAAACTATTCTTAATTTTTATTTTTTAGTCACCCTTTTAAAGTATCAAGGTAAAAAACACATCTGAACCTGTGGAGAAGTTTTATGAGTTTATTTGAGCCAAACTGATGACATACTAGAGAACAAGATCTCAAAGGCTCCAGAAAATTACAGTTTAGCAGCTTTTTGTATGCACTTGAAATTAAGGAGGGCAAAATCAGGGAAATTACATGGAGTTGGGAAAGCAAGGCAGGGATTTGATTATAGGATGATTATGTAATAATTATGTGCTCTTGAGGGTGGTTATTTCAAAAGTATGTTATCTTAGATGCACAGAAACAATGGACAGGGCTTAAGACCAAGATAAACCTTTTACTAAAAAGTTGTGGGCCTGCCCTGGTTAGTATGGCTCAGTTGGTTAAGTATAGTGCCATCCACCCTGAGGTCCCTGGTTCAATTCCTAGTCAGGGCACATGCCTGGGTTGCAGGCTGGATCCCCAGTAGGGAGCATGTGGGATGCAGCCCATTAATGATTTTCTCTCATCATTGAGAGCTGAGGGCTGAGCACTGAGTCTGAGCTGGCAGGTGACATTCTCAGGCTGCCTCCAGGGGAGGAAGGCCAGGTCCTTTCCCTCTGGCGCCTGAGGCCAGGTTTCCTTGTCCCAGGAAAGGGATCCTCTGTGGGAGGCAGCAACTTCCTGCTTGTGTCTTAGGTCCCATTTGGCTTCTCAGCAATTCCATTAACCTTGGAACCAATTCCCTGCTTGTACTCTATTTTTAATCCTCACCTAGAGGTATTTTTTCCATTTTTTCAGGGACTTGGGATGGAGAGGATGGAAACATCAATGCAAGATACACACCGATTGGTTGCCTCCCACACCAGCCCCGACTTTTTAGGCAAGTGGCCCAGGAAGGAATCCCTTGTAGACTGACCAGGGGATTTTCTTTTCTTTCTTTAAAAAAAAAAAATACATTTTATTGATTTTTTACAGAGAGGAGGGGAGAGAGATAGAGAGCTAAAAACGTGGATGAGAGAGAAACATCAACCAGCTGCCTTTTGCACACTCCCTACTGGGGTCGCGCCCGCAACCAAGGTACATGCCCTTGACCGAAATCGAACCCAGGACCTTTCAGTCCGCAGACCGACGCTCTACCACTGAGCCAAACCGGCTTCAGCCCAACCAGGGGATTTTCTGACCCGGGTTAAGGTGGGCCTCCCACTCTGGCACTGTGAACCTAGGTCTTCTCGGGCTCATCAAGACAATATGGGCGAATTCCTTTCTCCGTGGCAGCCTTTTCGGCTGAGCATGGAGTGCAGGACGGGGATAACAAAAAACTGCCCATGCCAAAACCGGTTTGGCTCAGTGGATAGAGCGTCAGCCTGCGGACTGTAAGGTCCCAGGTTCAATTCCGGTCAAGGGGGTGTGCAAGAGGCAGCAGATTGACGATACTCTCTCATCGATGTTTCTAACTCTATCCCTGTCCTTTCCTTTCTGTAAAAAAAAAAATCAATAAAAATTAAAAAAAACACAAAAAACAAAACACTCTGCGCTAGTCGACAGATGGGGAGCGGAAAAGGGGCAGTACCCACACCCCGCGAAATCCGCACACGCGTCGCCAAAAAATGTCCGTCCCAAGGCGCAGGCTCCGCGCAGGGCACTTCAGGAACCGCGCGCCCGCCACCCAATCAACGTCGGCCTCGCACAAAGCGACCCTCCCCTTAGGCCGCAGAAACGGAATCTCCACCCTTTCCTCCGGCGGCCTAGGCCCGCCCACTCCTGCCCAGGCTCCGCCGATTGGCTTATGGGAGGAGCGCAAGCTCTGGTTGGTTGAAGTGGAGTCACACGGGCACACAGTGGTCGCCTTTCCAGAGGGGACTACTGGGCAGGCTGTCTGTCGCCTCAGGCTGGAGCTCTAGCTCCTGGCGAGTTGTACGCGCTCCGGTTCTTCAGTCCCAGCGGCCGTCCTTTGGGCACATCTGCGCCATTCCCCCGCCATACACTCCACCGTCATAAGCCGCCGTCATGGTGAAGCTCGCAAAGGTAAGAGGCCTTCCTCGCACAACCACGGACGCCGAGGCTTATTTTCTGAGGCGTCGTGGGGAGGACCTGCGCGCTGTCCCAGGCGCATTCGAGGGGGCCGTGCTGTGGAAAGTCTCGCGTGATTAGTGCGGAGGTCTCGCGCTTTTTGGGTACTTTTTGGCGAGGTGGAAAGCTTCGTCAGGTGTTGCTGCTTCCGCGTGGAAAGACTTGGCGACTGAGGGGGCGTTGCCCCTCGGTAGAGGGATGAGGCCAAACTCCTGGGACCGGTGCGAACGGGACACCGCCTCCTGATGCACGTGCCTCGGCGGGCGGGCCGTGCCGCGTGCGTGGGCCCTGGCATCTCCGGAGGGGACCGCTCCGTGAGGTGGGAGCGGCCTAGAGGATCCTAACTAGGAGGTGGGCCCCGGAAGGAAGGGCTGCGCGCACCTGGTGGAGACGGCCCCGTGGCCCTGGGGCGGGGTTTCCCTGGGAAAGGAAAATTATAGGACCAATGGTCTTAAATTAGACGTGATTTCGCTTTAATGTTGCCCTAATTTAATTTCAGAAGAGTAGTGGGATAAGGTGACAGAATTTACTGAAGGCTTTTTCCCCCCCTTAAACTATTGGGGTGACATTGGTCAAACATCTAGGTTTCAGGTGTGGGTTTCTATAAGATCTGTGTATTGCACCATGTGTTCATTACTCAGTCAAATCTGTCACCATATATTAGGACACCCCCCTACCCCACCATCATCATAGGGTTTTCTAAGGTAGTTTTCCCCAGGTGAGGTTTTGAGTTATTGGCCATTAAAACGGTCCCATTGTAGGCTAGTGAATATTAAGAAATTGTGCCTGATATAAGAGTAGATTTTGGAAGTATAAATTTTAAAACAGATGTGCTTAAGCAAACAGGAAGAGGGAGATGATTTCATTGAAATTGTCTTTTTTACATAAAGTTGGATTATGTTATTTGTAATATTTAACAGAATGAAAAGTGGGTTCTGAAAAAGGGAGATGACCATTGTACTGTGAGGAATGTAAGCAAAATGGTAGTGGCCTGAAATGTGGGAGGTGTAATGTGCTAATAATATCTGTTTTAGGCTGATAAAAATCAAGGTGACTCCAAGAAAATGGCTTGTCCTCCAGAGGAGGTAGAAGAAGATAGTGAAGATGTGGAAATGCCAGATGAAGAAGATGAAAGCAATGGAGAAGAGGTAATTATGTACAATTTAATGCAGAATTTTATATAGTCTGAAAATACTGGCAAAGGGAAGATTGTACTCATATATGCCCTGTTGTAATGGTTGAGTGTCAAAAATACCATAAGGGGCTGAAACCGATTTGGCTCAGTGGATAGAGCGTCGGCCTGCAGACTGAAGAGTCCCAGGTTCAATTCCACTCAAGGGCATGTACCTTGGTTGCGGGCACATTCCCCAGTGGGGGATGTGCAGGAGGTGGCTGATTGATGATTCTCTCTCATCGATGTTTCTGACTCTCTTTTCCTCTCAGTTCTTCTCTGTAAAAAATCAATAAAATATATGTATTTTTTTTAAATACCATAAAGGTAAGTATTTGGATGAGTTTGAGAGAAAAGATTTGGAGCCTCTTCCTCATGTGCCCTCTACAGAGCTTAGTTTGATGATGTTTGATGATGTATTAAATCATTTCCAATTTCAGCATACTAGCCCCACATGCTAAGGGAGGAAACAGCCTGGACATTTAGCTGTCTTGTGTGTGGCAGTGCTGAGCATTATATTCAGGTCTGAGGTTAGCCTTACCAGATTCCTTTCCTAGCTGCCAAGCAGGGCTCTTTTTTTGTTTGTTTTTTGAATGAGTTTTGTAATATTAGTCACATTTTTATAATGTTGTGGAGTGAGGAATGCCACCTCCCTTTGTGCTGATAATGACACTCAGGTACTCCTGGCTTCTGTTGCTTACTGTAAAGTGTAGGGAGCAGTTATAGGGTAAAGTCTCGGACTGACCTGCTGGCAAAGCCCCACAGAAGTCCCAGCTTAGAGGGCACAGCCTGCTCCCTAGATCTTTCCTGGGTAGCTAATGGGCTATGGGAGGAGCAGCGAGTGCTGCCAAAACAAGTGAAACTTATAAGAATATTGTAAATTACCTTATTTAACTCTGATTATAAAGTAAAGCATCTACTTGCAGTCTGGATCTATTCTGTCGTCTGTCATGCTCAGAAGATCCACCTAGACCCAGCTTATTCTCTTTGTCTTTTCTTCATCCTTTGCTGGCCTTCTCTCAGGCTCGCCGAACCCTTGACTGTGCTGGTGTGGCCCAGGTGGCACTCAATGCGGACCTGAGTGTGAGGGAACTGCAATTGTCAGGTGAAAGGAGGCCCCAAGGTGGGCATACACAGTAAGTAGGGTAGGAGTGTAGTAGTACTAGCTAGGTGTAAAACATTGGAAATTCAGGATCACAGAGAAAGAATGTATGCATATCCATGCTTAAGACTATACTCCAAGCAAGGGGCCGTTCTGTGAGATATGGATTTTGGATTTTGTGAGTAAAACCTGCCCATGGATTTCTGAGGAAGAAAAGGTAAATATAGAGGTATGGGAGAAGGTCGGAAAACAATTTCTCAATCATTATATAGCTGAATGTCCAGAGGAAATGCCTGCCTGTACTTTCAGTCTGTGGCCCTAGATTCGGGATTGACTAGAGCCTACTCCAAAAAGGGAGTGGAGGAATGTGGCAGGGGAATCAAGACAGATGGGGGAAGGTTGCCAAAGGCTTCAAACTCCACCATCAGGGGCGCTGCCTTCTCCAGTCCCTGGGCTATAGCTCCTGTGAGAGAGCCCTCTGGACGATGCTCTTTTTCTCAAATATGAGCAAGAAAGCAAGGGTACAGCTCCAGTGGATTTGGGATGATGGGGTTGAAGTTATGCTAAAATATTGCCTCAGGACATAGCCAATAGTCATACCTTATGTCAGGATTTTGTGGCTCCAACAATACATCTTATAAGGAAAAAATGTCTGGAGGCTTATTCATTATATGGATGACATTCTCTTAGCTCATAAAAATGAAACACATATAAATAATATCTATATAGATTTTCAGGATTTCCTGAATTGTGCTGGATTTTGCATAGCACCTGAAAAAGTTCAAAAGACATTTCTTTTTTCTTATCTTGGCAGCATTATTGAGGGAAAATAAAAAAAAAACTCAGAAAATTCAAATTCGGACTTACACTTTACTTACATTAAATGACTTCCAAAAATTATTAGGATCTATTATTTGGGTTTGACCTGCTTTAAAATTAACCACTGCTGACTTAAGCCCTTTATTTCATATATTAAGGGGAGATTCATCTCTGTCATCCCCATGCTGCTTGACAGAGGAAGCAAGACAGCCTTACATAAAGTTCAGCGCAACTTGCTAGATTGGTTACTCCCTTCCCTTACTGGGGTCATTCTATTGATCACCTCCTTGCTGTAATGCAAGAGGCCACCTCATTTTCTCTTGCCCAGTCCTCCCATGCTTTTGCATCATCAAAGTGATGCTGCCTTACGCAAACAATTCGGTGTTTCTAGGGAGCAAGCCTGTCAAATTGTTAAGCAGTGCTCTCAGTGAATAATTCATTGCTCTGTACAATTGTTTGGGAGTTAATCCTAGGGGTCTTAAGCCTAATCAAATTTGGCAAGTGAATGTCACCCACATAAAGGAATTTGGTAAGCATAGATGGGTACATGTTAATGTAGATACCTGCTCCCACTTTATCTTTGCGACTCCCTAAATGGGAGAGTATACCAAGCATGTAATTAATCATTGCCTAGCTGCCTTTGCGGTACTAGGTCCTCCCTTAGAGCTAAAGACAAACAATGGACCCGCCTAAACTAGTTCTGCTTTTCAACATTTTTGTTAACAATATTAAATTTGTCATAAAACTGGTATTCCTTACAACCCTCAAGGTGGAGCAATAGTGGAAAGAACAAATTGTACTCTTAAAATGCAATTACTAACACAGAAAGGGGGAGACGGATGTTATGTGTCACCTCAAAACAAACACAGTCATGTTCTTTATACTTTAAGTTTTTTGAATTTCGATGCAGAGGGTCATACAGCAGTTGAAAGGCATTGGGCCTCCTATACATAGCCTCTGAGAGGTTAGCCTGGAAGGATGCACAAACTGGATAATGGTTTGGACCAGATCCAGTAAGGATGTTGGGAAGAGATTGTGTTTGTATCTTTCCAGTAGGAGCAGCACAGCCAATTTGGGTGCCAGAGCGTTATGTATGTCACCACAGTGGACCCAGAGAAGCTCCTTGTCCCATTGTTCAAAAGATAGAGTTGCCCGATGATAGCAAAGCAGAAAAGGAAGATGACAAAGGCTATATAAAAGGCCACGGTGCCAAAATGGGGTCAGCTGAAGAAGTTAAAACTAAGGCACAGCAGATGGCAGAAAAGCAAGAAGTGGAAGCTACTCCCTCATTCATGTTTCTGGCCATGCTAGCATTGGTTAGCTGCCAGTTTTCTGCAAACTTGCATAGCCAAGTCCGAGGACTCTTGAATAAATCAGCAAAAGAAACTTTCATTTATTAGAAAAATGTTACTATAATTTGATTTCTCCATTATTGTAGTGTTATGTTAGCATTGTTTTATTAATAACCATGTCTGGGTTTTACATTGGTATTGTTTTGTTACTATTTTAATAGTCAGAACTTTGTTCTTTATGTTTAAGTTTTACTTCCATTATTCTTAGCTTAAAATTTAAAAAAGGGTGAGATGTAGGGAGTGGTTATAGAGTTAAGCTTCGGACTGACCTGCTGGCAAAGCTGCAAAGAAGTCCCAGCTTAGAGGGCAACAGCCCTCTTAGCATAATTAAGCTTGATCTTGTGACTGCTATCTAGATATTTCCTGGGTAGCTAATTTGGCAAGTGCTGCCAAAACAAGTAAAACTTATAAAAATATTGTAAATTACCTTGTTTAACTCTGACTATAAAATAAAGCATCAGCTTGCAGTCTGGCTCTGTTCTGTTGTCTCAGTAATGCACAGAAGATCCACCTAGACCTAGCTTATTCTCTTTGTCTTTTCATCCTTTGCTGGCCCTCCCACAGGCTTGCCGAACCCTTGGCTATGCTGGCTAAATACAGTAAAGACAACTACAAGTTTTTGTTTGTTTTTTAAATATATTTTATTGATTTTCTTACAGGGAGGAAGGAAGAAGGGTAGAGAGTTAGAAACATCAATCAGTTGCCTCCTGCACACTCCCTACGGGGTATGTGCCCGCAACCAAGGTACATGCCCTTGACTGGAATCGAACCTGGGACCCTTGAGTTTGAAGGCTGTTGCTCAATCTACTGAGCCAAACCGGTCAGGGCAACTACAAGTTTTATTTTAACACATAATTTGATGAAATGATGGTCAACAAAAAGCTTTGAGTGTGACTTGAATGTAGACAATGTTTTTATCAAGCTAACTGCTCACTCTTTGTATTAATTTTGTAAGGACTGTCTAGCCTATTTGATAACTCCTTTTATCTCTGGTCCTAATACTGAGTTTTCAGTGAACTTCAAACCACCTCCCCAATGATTTAATAACACTTAACAGTTTGAGCTTTATCCTTAAAACAACATGTAACATTGGTTCTCATTGTTAGAAGAGAAAAAAAGTTGAGGCTGTAAAAATCTTTCTTTGGGCCACACAGGCAGATGAAATCCACACAGTCTATTTTCAGATTGCATTTGGGTACTTTTTGGTGAGGTGAAGAGCTTCGCCAAAGCTGAAAGCAATTACTAGAGGATGAGATACAGAAATTTAAAAGTCTGGGTCCAGAGGTATTTGAAGTGTTAACGGGTTCATTATGATTGGATATTTTACCTGAAAATGAGGACTGTGATTTCATAGGTACAGAGAAGGACATGTAACATGATGCTGTAGTTCAGCATGTTAGTATATATCTAACCCATGTGGTCTTGAACCAAAGGTAGTGCCAGAATTTAGCACTCACTTATGGGGAACCAGTGGTCACTCTTGAGTTTAAAAATAAACTCATGTTTATTTAACTTCCAGGCTATCACTCCTCAGAAAAAAGTCAAGAAGGCTACAACTCCAGGAAAGAAGATGATGGTTTTTCCAACAATAAAGATTGCAGTTGCCACACCAGGCAAGAAAGCAGTTGTCACCCCTGGCAAAAAGGCAGTGGCTGTGCCAACCCCTGGCAAAAAGGCAGCAGTTACACCAGCCAAAGCATTAGCCACACCTGGTAAGATGGGAGCAGCCATCCTAGTCAAGGGAGCAGAGAACGTCAAGAAGGAAGATAGTGATGATGACAACAATGAAGAGGAGAAGGAGGAGGAGGAATTTCAGCCAGCAGAGATGACAGCTACTGCTGCTGCCCCTTTCTTGGATGATGAGGATGATGACGAAAAAGATGGTAAAGTGTTCTACGGGTAGTCCTTAGGCTCTTGTTTGCAAGGCACATTAGGGGTGAGGTTGTGGGATGGCTGAGCAACATGCAAACATACTCCTTCCATGACACCATGGGGGTAGATAAAAATCCTCCCAGGGATTCTCTGTGCTGGTTGTGTACTAGGGTGGTAGCTGTGAATGATTGCCTGTCCCTGATAAAATGTTTAGCACCGCACATTCTATGAATAGTCTTCACAATATAGGGGTTCACTTTCAAGTTATCTGTTAATTTTTGATGTAACTACTAAGCACAGTACTGTGTTATATTTTTTCCCTTTAGATTTATCTGGAACTAATGTTGATTTGGGGATAATTCTCTTGAGTTTTTGATTACGTAGCTTCTCTTTCAGACTCTGAAGAAGAACCTATGGAGATTGCACCAGCCGAAGGCAAGATAGCTCCCATAAAAGCTGTTTTTGTGAAGGCTAAGAGCACAGCTGAGGATGAAGATGAAGAAGAGGAGGAAGGTAATTGAGCTAGATTCTAAAGTGGTTTGGTATGAGTTTTATTTAAAGAAGGTACCGAATATGTGTGGCTACTTATGGATAACACAGATTGTTTGAAATCTTGTCCAGAACCTGTCAAAGAAGCACCTGGAAAAGGAAAGAAGAAAATGGCCAAACAGAAAGCTGCTCCTGAGGCCAAGAAACAGAAAGTGGAAGGTAACTTGTCAGGATGGAGAGAGGGAGGGATTTATACCTAATAGCACAAGTGATGAACAACAAAGGGACTTAATACTGAAACCTGATGTTACATTGCAGTATGCTGATGTGCTGTGTATAGAAATTTATGCTGGAAATCAAATTCATCCCATACTTTATAAATCAGATTAATTTGAGTTAATTTTTTGTGCAGCCACAGAACCAACTACGGGTTTCAGTCTCTTTGTTGGAAACCTGAACTTTAGCAAGTCTGCACCTGAATTAAAAACGGGTATCAGTGAAGTTTTTGCTAAAAACAATCTTGCTGTTGTGGATGTCAGAATTGGTGTGTCCAGGTAGGTAAGGGGAAGTTAAGCCAACCGTATTCCTGGGTCTGCTAATGCTTTTTTTCCTCCCTTTTTAGAACATTAGTACTTTACCCTTCAGCATGAGTGTGTCTTCAAAGTTTAGACTTTAATGAACTATTACTTAGATTATTAAATTGTACAACCTTCCCCAATTGAAGTTTCCATAATCTCCCTTAACTTTTGATATAGCACAAAATAATTTTTAGTAAGCTATGAGCTTTTATTCTTAAAAATTCGTAAAACTATTATATCCAAATAACCAGGCAGGGTTCTCCTTCCTTGATGCTTTAACAAGTTCTTTTGTTAGCTGTTATGAGCAGTGTAGTTAATAAAGATAAACTCAGAGGTGGACCTGCTTCAGGTCTTGCTTGGTATTTAAACCTCAGTCTGTATCCTGAGCTTTCAGTGTCTTAGTTTTGTTAATAGAGTATGCTGCTTTTTAACTTAAATCATTGCTTGCCCCATTGCATTAGTGTTGCTGCTTGTCTAGTATACATGTAAATGGGGCTCTTGCTTTTGCTTTTTTTAAACCTGTACTTTTTATCCTTTGCCTTATCACCTTAAAGGAAGTTTGGCTATGTGGATTTTGAATCTGCTGAGGATCTGGAAAAAGCCTTAGAACTCACTGGTTTAAAAGTCTTTGGCAATGAAATTAAACTAGAGAAACCAAAAGGAAAAGACAGTAAAAAAGGTATGTACTGCTTTAGATAATTGTGATACTGATAGGTAATTCCTTAATTATTATATTTCTAGTCTAATTGGCAGGTTAAATAATTACTCTTTCCTCCCCACTCTCCCAGTGTTGTGAAGATTAAATAAGTTAGAATGTTAAATGCTTACAGTAGTGCCTGGCAGTGCTAGAAATTCCTGAGTCAGCAAGCAATAATGAACTTACAAAAAATAACTGTTTAGCTCTGGCGGGTGTGACTGAGTTGTGAACATCTGCTCGTTCACCGAAAGTTTGCCTGTTCAAATTCCCAGTCAGGACACATGCCCAGGTTGCAGAGCTTGATCCCCAAGTAGGGGGTATGCAGGAGCCAGCCAATTGATGCCTCTTTTCCTAAATTTTAAAAATCTTCAAAAGAAATATAGCCTAGCTGAGTGGTCGGCAAACTGTTGCTCGCTAGCCACATGCAGCTCTTTGGCCCTGTGAGTGTAGTTCTTCCACAAAATACCACGTGCGGGTAAGTACGTACAGTGCTTCGTGGCCCATGCACATAAGTTGGTTTTTGGCTTGGGCGAGTCTATTTTGAAGAAGTGGCTGTTAGAAGAAGTGGGTGTCCATAGGTTGGGCGATGGGAGACGTGGCGCACGCGGGCTCAGCAGGAGTTGAGTGAACCTGTCAGCAGTCTAATTGTGCAGTGGTTTAGTGCTAGTCTGCAAATCACGCACTGGTGACAAAAGTACCTACTCAAAGCATGAAGTTACCTATATTTTTCTTTTCTTTTTAATATATTTATTGATATAGAGGAAGGGAGGAGAGATAGAAACATCAATGATGAGAGAGAATCATTGATCGGCTGTCTCCTGCATGCCCCCCACTGGGGATTGAGCCCGCAACCCAGGTATGTGCCTTTGGCTGGAATCAAACCTGAGACTCTTCAGTCCGCAGGCTGATGCTCTATCCACTGAGCCAAGCCGGCTAGGGCAAGTTACCTGTATTTTTCCAACCATCGGCAAATCCTCCAGATATTTTGTCATCAATGTAAGAATTGTGATTATTTTGTGTTGGTGGCTTTATTATTATAAAATAAAACTTTTTTTTAGGTGCCCTGTTTGACATGACGACAAAGAAGAAGCAAAGAAAAACGGAAGACGAAAACCGTGTATTTAAAGTTGAATGGACCGAGACTTTTGCGTTTATTCAAAACTTAAATGGCCTTCCGACCTGTCTTATTTGTCAGGAAAAATTGGCACATAACAAGAAATCAAATTTGGAGAGACACTTTATAACTAAACATGAGTCATTTAGTACTAAATATCCTGTTGGTGATGCAAGGAAGAAAGCAGTTGAGGAACTTCAGAAGAGTCAAGAAAACTCAAGTTCTGTATTTAATTACTGGATGCAATCTTCCAACAATGTTGATATTGCAAGTTTTGTGGTTAGTCAAGAGATTGCTAAGAGAGGAAAACCATATACAGATGGTGAATACATAAAAAGTTGTTTTATAAATGCATCTGAAGAGCTATTTCGGGATTTTAAGAATAAAGCAGATATTCTAAAAAAAATTAAAGAGTTACCATTGTCTGCTAAAACAGTGAGAGATGGAAGAGTCAAAATGTCTTCGAATTTAATTGACCAGCGAGTCGAAGATCTTAAATTGGTTTCAGCTTTATCAATAGCAGTTGGTGAGTCTTGTGACATAAATGATACAGTGCAAGTTTCACTTTTTGTACGATTTATTTCATCTACAGGTCCTAAAGAAGAACTTTTAGGATTATTGCCACTCAAAGGTCAAACATGTGGAGAGGATATAGCAAATGCTGTAATTGAGTGCATTGAAAAACATCATATTCCATTTGATAAAATTGTCTCAATTTCAACAGATGGGTCTAAAAGTATGACTGGTGTAAGAAATGGATTTGTTGCCATTTTGAAAGAAAAAATTAATCACGAGATACTTACTTACCATTGCATCATTCATCAAGAAGCACTTTGTGCGCAGACATTTCCAGAAGAAATTTGCAAAGTTATGGAATTGGTGATTAACATTATCAACTCCATTATAGCTAAAGGTTTTAATCATCGCCAATTTAAAGAATTTTTAGTTGAAATTGAGAGTGAGTATGCAGATCTGCTGCTGCATAACAAGGTATGTTGGTTATCAAGAGGAAACGTTTTGAAATGTTTTGCTTCCTTATTAACAGAAATTAAAGCATTTCTCCTTGAGAAGGGTGTTCACTATCCAGAACTATGGAACGATCAGTGGATCCAAAAATTTTATTTCATGGTAGATGTTACATCTCATCTAAATCAGCTTAGTCGTAAACTACAGGGGAAAGGAAACACAATTTTTTCAATGTTAGAAGAAGTTATTTCATTTGAAAACAAATTATCTCTTTTGGCTCAAGATTTTGAAAGAGAAACTTTGTTTCACTTTCCAAGCCTGTTGAAACATTGCCAAGAAAATAATTCTTACATTGACATTTGGTATTTTCAAACAACACTTTTAAATATGAGGGAAACTTTTCTCAACAGGTTTCAGGATATCAGAAACAGCAAAGCGACGTTAGCCTTTGTTAAAAAACCTCTGAAAGCAACTGTAACAGAATTAAATTTTTCTCCCTTTAATATTGACATTGGCAACTTTGAAATGCAATTGCTGGATATAAAAAACAAAGAATTGTGGAGCTCAAAATTTGAACGTCTTTGTGCTGATATAGAAATATTGGAGAAAAACAAATGTGAACTTAGTTCACAGCACAAGTGGTCTGCTTTGAAAGACCTGGAGAAGGAAGATATGTTGATTTTTAACACCTGGAATAGTATTCCTGACTCATATAATCAACTGAAAAAACTAGCGTTTGCTGTTCTTTCCTTATTCGGGTCTACATATTTGTGTGAACAATCATATCTGGAATCGTGCCTAAAATTAAAAAATACAACATACAAATCTGATTTACTCAAACTTTCCAAGGAAATGCAAGGCCATTGTTCACATTAGTGTTAATCATTGTCATGATTTAATTTTATGGACATTGTAAGGAATTTATTTTTATTAAATTATGTTATTAAGTATGATATCAAGTTTTATTCAACATACCTATAGTTTAAGACTTAAAACTGTAAGTAAAGTTTATTAAGTTAATTTTAGGGAACGTTGTGGAGTGAAAGAAGATGTAATGTCCAGGATTGAGAAAGGTACGTTGAGATGGTTTGGACATACAGAGAGGATGAACAAAGGAGATAGACGAAACAAGTATACAAGATGAATGTGGATGGGAGAGTTGGAAGGGGTTGACTTCAGCAAACATACCTCAATTAAGATTGAGGACATTTTTAGCAAAGGCCAGTTTAGAAGTACCCTAATTAAGTTAATAACAATGTACCTACCTATATAGTTTTAAGTTTAAATAATTAGTAGACTCCCAAAAGAAATTTCAAATAATTTTATGTTGATATTTGGCTCTGTTGACTAATGAGTTTGCCAACCCCTGGCCTAGCCATTGTGGCTCAGTCATTGAGCAGTGTCCTATGAATCAGATGGTCAGGGTTCCATTCCTGGTCGGGGCATATATATGCCCAAGTTGCAGGCTTGAACCCCAGTGTAGGGTGTGGGGGAGGCAGCTGATCAATGATTCTCATCATTGATGTTTCTAATCTACCTCTTTAAAATCAGTAAAAATGTATTTTAAAAATATGTAATTTTTTAGATGTACAGGAATACCCTAATATAGGGAGATCTTTCCTCACTGGAATTATATCAAATCTCTGACTATTCTTTTTGTATCCTTCATGTACTGTCATCTTTCATGTGTGTTCACGACTTCTTTAAGATGTTTAAATTAATTTTGAGGCTGCAGCGTGAGGAGCTGCTGCCATGTCTGCCCACCTGCATTGAATGATCGTGCGGAACTGCTCCAGCTTTCTGATCAAGAGGAGCAAGCAGACGTACAGCACCAAACCCAGTAACCTGAAGGCCCACAACTCCTTTCACTACAACGGGCTGATTCACCGCAAGACGGTGGGTATGGAGCTGGTGCCCGATGGCAAAGAGGTGGTGCTCATCATAAAGCAAAGATCCAGCCAGTGAGAGCCAGCCACTTCCTACGTGAGCACCCACCCTAAGCAGCATCCGGTACATGATCCTCTAGATTCTAAAGTCTAGAACAAGTATGAACCAGATCTACACATGGCCAGCTCCCTTCTGTGCAGCCAGAAGCCTGTGATGGTGAAGAGGAAGCAGGCCCACCCTATCAAGAGCTCTTGAGCACCCTGCCCCTAAACAATAAAGGTATCAGCCAGCTCTCCTAAATATATATATATATTTTTTTTTAATTTTTTTTTTTTTTAAAGAGGAAGATGGAGAGAGAGATCCATCAATCGGCTACTGGGGATCAAATCCACAACCCAGGCTTGTGCCTTCACCCAGCCAACAGCTACATTGGCCAGGGCTGCCAATTACTTTAAATTAAAATCCGCCCACTGGTGTTGCTCAATGGCTGAGCATTGACCCATAAGCCTGGAAGTCACAGTTCGATACCCTGTACAGGAAGCAGCCAATCCATGATTCTTTCACTATTGATGTTTTCATCTCTCTCCCTCTGCCTTCCTCTCTGAAATCAATCAAAAATTTTTTTTAAATATGCTGAAACCGGTTTGGCTCAGTGGATAGAGCGTCGGCCTGCGGACTGAAGGGTCCCGGGTTCGATTCCCGTCAGGGGCATGTACCTTGGTTGCGGGCACATCCCCAGTGGGGGGGGTGCAGGAGGCAGCTGGTCGATGTATCTGTCTCATCGATGTTTCTAGCTCTCCCTCTCAATTCCTCTCTATGTAAAATCAATAAAATATATTTAAAAAATATATATTTTTTAAAATATGTATATATTTTGATCAATGATGAGAGAGAATGATGAATTTGCTACTTTTGCAAGCCCCCCACTGGGGATCAAGCCTGCAACCCAGCATGTGTCCTTGTCTGGAATCAAATCCAGGACCCTTAAGTCCATAGGTGCTATCTGCAAAGCCAA